AACGTTCTGGAGCAACCGAAATTTCCACTCGAAATCGATGGCTACTCTGAAAATCCGCCATCAGTAGTAATAAATAACACCACTTTATTTTATACTTCTTATTAGCTGATGAAGTATCATCATCAGTATTTGTAATTTTTCACTTGAAGAAATTTCAAATATCCATATTTCTTTGTTTTTAAATAAAATATTAAATTTAAAATTTAAACAGACATTTAATCAAGAGTACTTACGCTTGTATTTTGAAATAAATAAATAATAAAAAGTATAGTCAACAAAACGCCGGTTTAACAACTATTCGTCTTTACACGTCACTTCACCACAGATCAAAAGTGAAAACGGAATGAATTTTTGGACGTAAGCAATAAAATGTTTGCTCTTGTGTTGTAATAACTGTAAAAATCAAATAACGAAACAACCCATAATTCAGTACCAGTTAAAAAGGATAGATTTATGATGTTTCCAGGCAAATCTGGGCCGAACAGAGGGTTTCAAAACCAGATGGTCTAAGTTTGTCACATTTCTGTGTTTGTGTGGCCATAAAACTGAAAGTGTAGGGTATGTATCTACTCTTACAAATGTGCTGAAGTTTAACTTTGACAAATAAAAAGGAAATTGACGCAGAATCTCAGGGGGGGCCATCGCCCCCCCTGGCCCCCCCCTATGGGCGCCCATGAATAATACTAGCCTAGGACCACAACGATTTGGAATATGTATCACTGACGAAAAATATGTGAATTGAGGGCACGCAATCGATTTAATATTAGAGGACGAACGATGAATCCCATAAAAAAATGGACTTCGGATAAGGCAATAGACAAACGTAATTTACTAGGAAGGAACGCGCTATGCATGCCAATGAGATATTGCACGAGCAAGGTATATCCAAACATAATAAACAAAGAATATATAACACCATAACGAGAAGTATCACAGGATAAGGCAGTGAAGTATGCTAACTAAAAGATAAACCCGAAAGAATGTCAAAGAAATGAACTTCTGGCGAAGATCCGGAGGAAAACCAAGAAAGGTTCGAGTTACCAACCACAAAATAAAAGAATTAGAACAAACAACGGTGGACGATACAAGAACAAGGCAGCTGATATGGTATGGGCACGTACACAGAATGACAGAAGATAGAATACCAACACAAGTCCTCAAATTGACCCTTGTCTAGAAAAGAGAACAAGACGACGTCCAAGAAAAGGTTGTCCAGAAGGGATTGACAAAGAAATAAGTGAGAAATGCCTACAGGAAAATTTATAGACACGCCAATAAAAATGGAAGCTATGGGTCAGAAGGCACTCTTTTTTATTACATCCAAATTTTTTTCCCTACATTTTTCCGATATTTTTATCGAAATATACCTACTTTGGCTATATTCCAAATCATTCCGATTAGATTAAAATGGCAATGGTAAGGCTGAAACCTCAAAACTTCGTGGTCATATGTTTTTGCTAATTTATCCATAACGTATAAAATGAGAAAACTCTTGAAATGTTGTTTTGCTAAATTTAGTAGCTCAGGTTTAAGAAACTTTCAAAATATAATATCGTGGAGTTCCAACCACTGAATATTACGTTACATATATATTTAGTCCACAATCGTATTCCCAGTCTATTGACAGTTATAAAATAACACATGAAATATTCTTCGAAGTACTCCGTATTCATGCTATCTGATGGTTTGAAATGAGATGAAAATAATTATGCAGCTTCTTCCACATATGTCATTCGTCCACCGAATGGATATTTTACCATTATCAATTTTTCATTGTTGTTGAAAACTTTTCCAGGAGAGGTTTTTAACACCTTTCCTAAGTATCCACGTCTCGTCTAAAAAAATAGTCCTTCGTGAATAACTGTTTAGTAAGTTTGCAACATAATTCCTCAAAATATATGTCTTTTGAATGCAATATGGGACATTTCTCATAGATATTTTCCGTTATTATGGTGGTTAAATTTTATAAAATCACATACTTCTATACTTGTTGTTTATGAATCCACCTTTATTTTTCACTCTAAACATCCAGATTTTTTTTTATTTTATATTTGTTGTGCGAACCAACGTCGTATTTTATAAAGGATGAACGCCAATTTTTTCATTTAATCTAATTATTATTACTACTTTAGAACGCCATACTTTATAAACCACGTACGCTATAATTTGTAAATTCCGAACGCCGCGCCGTACTTTATAGTAAACAAGTCAAAAATTCAGTAATGTCTACATTTAAAGAAAAAATCGTCGTGACAAATGCCATACCACTGATGAGAGGAAAATTGTCAGATTGCATTTAAAACATGGTGCTTGACAAATATCTTTATACCCGTTTAGCATAAGAGCCAATTTTGTTAGAAAACTTTCAGCAATGAGGATTCGCAACTTGTTTTACTAGTTTGGTCTACAAACAAAGTTAAAATTCAATTTTCGTTCGGTGCTAGCAGGTAATATAAACATAATAATAGTTTATACCAACAAAGGTCAAAGTCAACTTGCTTTACCTTATTTACATTAGGAGAGGTCCATTTACCCCTTAATAAACAAAGTAACTGTTAACTTTTTGTTAGTGTAAATTATATAAATATTAAATTGCGATAAGCTATCATTATTAAATGTGGGTGTACTTCATGATATAGTACGAAATAACTATATTATTACTCCTACTATCGGAGAAAAGTGATCCCTACCTCGAGAGGATATAATTTTTGCACATATTGTTGAAAAGCCACTTTAAAAAAATATCGCTTAAATTAATCAGTCTCAAGAAGCATAATTCCTTTTTCAGTCTTTTAGAATTTTTATATGAAGTCCTTATTCCCGGACCTTTTTAATTGCCCAAAATATTTTTATTTTCCTTTTTAAGCCACCAAAATTCCGTATGTTGTTGCGGTAATCTTGAGTGAAGCAGCCAACTGGACTGCTGGACAATAGCTAAAGTCATTTATTCACCTGACCTAACCTGGCCTATTGCATAGATCTATTCCTAAACCACAATTGTAGGAGTATATTACTTTATAGTAATTGATAAGAAAATACTGATTTTTGATATTTTTGACGATTTTTCAACTACATATATCCGAAAATTAGATGAAGATATTTTCTTGGAGATTTCGATATCCAGAAGTCATTTTCGGCTCGTTTCTTCTGAAATTCCTACCGTTTTTCCAAAATCGGTAATTGAAATGTGTACAGCAATTTTTACAGATTCGTCAAAATAATTCTCTATGAAAATCTTGTAGATAAGACAGAAAACGATTATCAATTTTTGTTTCACAAAATACAATTGTTTCAAGAAAGTACTTTGTAGTTGCTATATTTCTACACAAATATTTAAAATTAGTTTATTTGGTACAATAGAGAATTTAGAGCAGATCAGGTGACGTTAGGTCAAACCAGGTCAGGTGGATGAAATAAGAAATATATTTTATAGCAAATAGTAAAACAAAAAAAAGTTACGATTAGCGCTTTTTTTATCATTTTCACATCCGAGATTCTATTAATTATTAGTTTCCACTCTCTCTCGACAGAACAACATAATTAGCCCCGCCCACCCACCCTGTCTCCTTTTCAGTGACTATTTTTATCCGAATGAAATGAATGATCTTATCCTGAACAGAAATAAAATTAGTCGTTAGAATTAGAAGAGGGTGGTGAGCGCAGCTAGTACTTGCTAAGACAAGACTGATTTGTCAAATGACATACATTCCAAGAAAATAGAGGGTGGGTGGGCGGGGCTAGTATTTGATAAGAAAATACTGATTTTGGCACTTTTGATATTTTTGATCATTTTTCAACCACATATATCTAAAAATTACATGACGACATTTTCTTGGAGATTTAGATGTCCAGAAGTCATTTTCGGCTTGGTTTCTTCTGAAATTCCTACCTTTTTTCCAAAATCGCTAATTGAAATATATACAGCAATTTTTACAGATTCGTCAAAATAATTCTCTATGAAAGTTTTGTAGATAAGACAGAAAATGATTATCAATTTTTGTTTCAGAAAATACAATTGTTTCAAGAAAGTACTTTGTAGTTGCTATATTTCTACACAAATATTTAAAATTAGTTTATTTGGGACAATAGAGAATTTAGAGCAGATCAAGTGACGTTAGGTCTAACCAGGTCAGGTGCACGAAATAAGAAATAAATTTTATAGCAAATAGTAAAAGAAAAAAAAGTTACGATTAGCGCTTTTTTTACTTTTTTCACATCCGAGATTCTATTAATTATTAGTTTCCACTGCCTCTCGACAGAACAACATATAATTAGCCCCGCCCACCCATTTAAATAATGTTTAATGTGTAAAATTTTTAAGGGATATCATTACATGTTGGTAGGGATGACACATTTTATTTAGCATGTTACCGTCCGCACGATATTTGTAAACTACATAGAAAATGTATCAACAACAGTACAGTAGTTTCCGAAACTATCTGTCTAAAGAAATAGGCACAGACAGACTATAGACAGACAGACGGAAACGGCAGATCTATTTTTTTATACTCTGGGGGTCATGAAATGTCAAAAAAAAACAATAAAGTGGCCAGCAGCGCAATGGATTCTAATAAATACTTCCTCAACGTACGCCCGAAAAGTAAACACGTCTGCAGTTCTCACGTAAACACGATTATTTCTTATTGGCAATAATAAGAACAAACAGTCAGAAAATCAAATCGCAAATTTCATGACCACGCTACTCGTTATGCGCCTTTGTAGACTACTTAGTGTTGAACGTGCAGTATTGACCATTTTACCTTATAGCAGCAGGAAACAAAACTCAAATTCACAGAGTTCTGTATTTACTGAAACATCGTTTTCCCTGAGGGATCATTTTCCTCCCACTCTAACTACCTTCTTTACAAGTGAATTTTCAGCCATTTCGGGTAAATTTTCTCAGTATAAATACTCGAAGTACTCATGTATTCAGACCAAAAGACAACCACTTTACACTCATTTTTATTTCTCATGAAATAACCTCCGTTTTTTCTTTCCAGGATACGGCTCCGTGTCCCCCAAGACCTCCTGGGGCAAAATGGTCACCATCATCTACGCCCTCGTCGGCATCCCCTTGATGCTCCTCTATCTCTCCACCACCGGCGACCTTTTGGCCCGCAGCTTCCGTAGACTCTACGGAAAACTCTGCGGCGTCAGCAACCAGAAACCGCAATGCCCATGCACAAACCCAGTCAGAGTCCCCGTCACTCTATGCCTCATCATCGTCCTGGCGTACATCTGTTCAGGAGCTGTCCTGTTCCACCGTCTAGAAAACTGGAGCCTCCTCGAAGGTTCCTACTTCTGCTTCACATCTCTGGGTACCATAGGTTTCGGAGACCTCCTCCCAGGACAAAACGCCGAAGAAATATCTCTGTGTGCATGTTCGGCGTACATTCTTACCGGAATGGCTCTGGTGGCGATGTGTTTTAGCTTGGTACAAGACGAGGTTATTAATTTATTGAGGTACATTGGGGCTACTTGCACTCGGAACAAGATGCTGAAAGTCAGGGATGAGGAAAGCGCGATGGGTACGTCTTGACAGAGACCGCAGACTGAAGGAGCAGCACCGATTAAGAGACCACCTATGGTTAATAAGATACCGCCAATGTTACAGCATAATAGTCTGCCGAGGAAGAGCAATTTTCAAAGGAACACCCCAGCGAGGAGGTCGGCAGGTGAGGAGACTATATTTCGGGTGGTTTTGTAGATGTTTTGAGCTTGGTGTTCCTGGTTTTGGGGTGTGTGGTTAGCCTGTGTCTTCTCAAGGACGTTTGCTTGAAGGAAGTTTATTCTATTCGCTCTTCGTTTCAACGTTACTTTTGCCTTCTGGTAACTTAGTATTATTCCATGACTCCTTTATCTTGTATCTTTTTTATTGTTTGTAGACAATCCTGTTCTTATCGATGCTGTCTTCAGCAGGTGCCGAGCCGCTCATTGAATACTTCGTGCCCAGAAGCGTCAGCGAGTTCGACCTTTCCATAGCAACCGGCGACACGCCCATCACTGGAAACTTCTTGCCCTTAACAGTGAGAGTGCCCAGAAAAATGCAGAACAAGCAGAAAGAGAAAATGGTAACTTTTGAAGACGAAATGGCAGTCCGACTCAACAAAGACCCAGAACTCCAGGACGTGTTTATGTGACAAAAGGGATAACAATTAGTTAATAAGGAGACTAGCTTAGTGGACGATTTTAACACAGTGAAGAGGGAACTGAAACAGTTCAAAAATCTGAAACTGTGCGAAGGACTGAAGAAGTGCGACGAGAATTGTTCGTGTAACGCCGAAGCCGAATGCGATATTTGCAAAGTGATCGATTTCACGATGAAGAAAGACAAACTCTGAGAAAACTATAGTGCCAAAATTTGTATAAAATTGTATATAGAAATGGACTTGCGGACGATGAACGTGATTTTGTAAGTTAAGAACCAAGCAGTATTATAATCATTGTTGAACATTTTTAAATAAAGAGTCGATAATTTGAGTGGCCAAGGGCACGACCCCATCTTTATTTCTACACACAACCTATTCCTTAAGTAGCCCTTTATTAATGTATATTAAAAATTTCGTTGGTGTAATTGTGGTTTGGTGACAAATCAGTCCAAAGTTAAAATTGTTGAATATCGCATTTTCCCGCCAACTCCACGTTTTAATTAGTGAACGAGCAAAACTTATGTTTATGTAATCGAACAACGATTTAGACAATAAAAAACGACTTTGACCCAGTTTTACCAAAGTAGAGTTTTACTTTGCATTTGCAATATATGGTGCACAATGTTAAATTGACATGTGCGCATGCGCACAAATGCCAATCGATGAGATAACCTCAAAATCTGTGATAGTTGAAGGTGCTTTAAAAGTGAAAAATAATGTCTTTTCGTAACATTTTGTTAATGCGAATGCCACAAGTACTCACCAATTTACAAAAACGATACCACCATTTCAATACACTGGCTAATCAGTCACATAACCTCACTTTTATTGTTGTTAAACGGTTTGCCCACAAGGCTTTAAAATGTTGGCAGTGTGGAATAGAAAGGAAAAATATTGGAGAACTTTTTTGCGAACAGTGTAGCTATATTCAGACTCCACCAGACAAGGACAATTATTTTAAGGTCTTCGAGCTCGATGAACACTTTGACATTGACCAAAAACAATTGACGCGGAAATATAGACAAATGCAGAGCCAACTGCATCCTGATAAATTTACAAATAAGTGAGTATTTAGTTTGGTATTTTATTGGTTTATTGAAGTGAATAGATCTGAAAAGGAAAAGGATATTTCTGAAGAATTCTCCTCACTTGTGAATAAAGCGTATAATACTCTGCAAATGCCTCTCAAACGTGCCATACATTTACTTCACGTAAAAGGAGAAACTATTGAAGAAGGCCAACGAATAGATGACCCAGAATTTCTAATGGGAATAATGGAATTAAATGAAGAAGTAACTAAAAACACCTTATAAACATTCATGACACGTATTTTTAAGGTAGAAAACGCCGACACTGACGAGAAACTTAAAAACTTGAAATACAAGAACGACAATGAACTTCTGAAAATTGCAAAAGAAATTAAAACATGCTTTGATGAGAACCAAATCACCAAAGCCAAAGAAACCATAATTAAAATGAAATATTATAACAGCGTTAGCCTTCACATTAACAACTTAATGCGTGAAAAAGGCATTGTTGAATAAAGTTTTTGTAGAATAAGTTATGTTATTAGATCGCGTCCTTCGATTAGTGTGGGTTGGTGATATTGGTATTAACAGTTGGCATTGAAGAAAAAACACTTTCGTCTTGTCACTGTCAAATCTGCCGACAAATTTATTTATTGATTTTTCTCCCGCGGTAGGTGAAAAATCCAAAATCTTAGAATGGGTAAACCAAATTCTTTCACTGCGTTTTTAAAGGGCGTTTATCACGACGACTTCAAATGGTAAGAGTCCATTCACATTTTCGCGTAAGTGAGGTTATGTTGTTTTACAGGGCACTGGTAAAGAGCATCGGCTTCTTTGCATTGGGTGTGCGAATCGCCCAGGAATTCCACGGAGTCGAATTATTAACAACCCAAACATAAATTTAGTGTATAATAGTTGTAAATAAAAATGTTTAACTGTTTGTGTGTAAGTGTGTTTGTTGGCCTAACTCATGCTTTACCAAATTTTGTCTTTGTGTTGACTGATGATCAGGATTTGGTGCTACGCAGTTTGGTAAGTATTTGAGGTCAAAGGGTACGTATGTGATAATGTTTCATAGGATTACATGAATAAAACAACCAAACTTGTGGCGAATGAAGGGGTCACATTTACTAATTTTGTAAGTAGAAATGGAATATGACGATCGAGATGATAATCATATTGTAGTTTGTGAATTCGCCCATTTGTTGTCCCAGCCGAAGCACAATTTTAACTGGGAAATATGCACACAACTGTCATGTTTTTAACAATTCAGTTGAAGGGGGCTGTTCTGGTCCAGAGTGGCAAAAGGAGCATGAAAGAGGGTCAGTTGCTGCGATTTTGAGGTCCAAAGGGAATTATAGGACCTTCTATGCTGGGAAATATTTAAATCAAGTTTGTATTTTGCAGTTGAGGCTGAGGAGGTGAAACAGAGCTTTATTTTTTTATAGTTTATCAGGGAATTGTTTAATCATTTAATTTTATAAACAAATTAAGAAGGCTGTATAATATAAACAGCTGCTTTCTTTTGTTTTGTCATAAATGTGAATCCAGTACCCACCAAACATGGCTATTGTACAAGTATGAAGTGTGTATGACCTTATTATGGATTACCTTCAAGTTTTAACGTTGTAGACAACATTTTATGAACTTTGATTTCGATTTTTTTCTTAACATAAACCTCCAAGATTGTAAGATTTTTAAATTTAACAGTAATTCACACACTTTGAACGACTGCAACCTCCAACTCCAAATTTGCTAACTCATAGAAACTCTCATAATGCGACAAACTTTTACCGATTTACGTCACCACCGGCTTGGTGGGAAAATTGATTTCAACCTCATTTGACCATTTTGTCTGTACACTGAACTTTCGACCTTTTTTAGTCTCATCAGTACATCACATCTCAGTGATTGGTCTAGCATTCGAGAGTTTACGCATCGCAAACTAACATTAATGTTAGTGAGATATAAAATGTTGAAAGGGTTAGGCATGTTTCGTCAGTGTTTCTGTTTCTACGATTAATATATTTTGCAACGGATCGTATAGAGGAAATGCTGGAACTAATTTTCTAAGTTTCTCCTCACTTTATCGCAAAAACACAAGTATTAAATTAATTAGAAAAGTCTAAATTATCTCTTTTTCGGAGTTTGAGACGATTTGGGCACATTTGAGTGTGTGTAGGAAACCTCCATAGTGTTAACCCAAACATCCCGCCAAAACTAGATACACGACCAAAATTTTAAAACCCACGAAAAATTCAAAATTTGGCCTTAACTGTGATCGTCAGAAGTAGACCCTACATTACAGTTTTTTTTTTATGGAATGCCTTTACTTGAATATCACATTTAAACACACAAAGAAAAAATAAATCGTCATTAAAATAACAGAATGCAAATACGTAGGTACTCCAGAAGACGTTATAACGATAGCTGAATTTGAGTTCCTCTAAGTAGTTTATCACGTTTCTTCGATAATTTTACTCTCTTGGCGGGTATAACACAACACACACACCACATCTCTAGGCTAAAAAAACCTGCCGCATATTACACTCTCTGTCCGGTCCTCGCAAAATAGCCAGCTATCTAATCACGGATCTTCCCATGAAGTTTTCAATTTAGCATCTGCTAGTGCAAATTGACAAGAAAGAAAAACCTTAGCTTCGAGTAGGAACCGTGTGTTCCACTTTCCCTACGCGATCTTAAACCCTTATTTCAATTCAATTTCAAATCCTATCATTCTCGAATTTATAACGATAAATGAGTGTTGGATAACAGGTTATAAACAAAGCACATATAAAATAAACACAATAGAGAAATGTTATTTGCAGTTTAAAGCAAAATAAGACGGGTGTGGTGCGCATCTCACATTGCGTGAATGTCGTAACAGTAAACTCTCCAAATTCAGCTTGTCGAACAATGATACAGAAATAATAACAGAAAACAAACACACATTAAACCCCACAGCCACCAGGTAGACGATGTCATTTATTTGACTGATGAAAATTTTAAGGACCTTCCTCTCAAAATTAAGACCAGTTTAAATGTCATGAATAAACTATTTTAAATTACGAGTGAGAACTTACGAAGTGCGGATAATGCAACAGGGTAAATAAAGAAATCTAAAACTTTTAGAAAAATCGTTAATTTAAAATAAGTTGACCCTGAATTTTACACGAACATTTTCTTAACATGAGTTGTGAAGTTACAAACCGTAAAACCAAAACTTATACGGGTTTATAGAATAGTCAAAGTTTTACACATTTCAGATTAGAAAATCATTAATGAATTAATATTATAATACTGTTAAAGTCTATTTATTATCACTGTTATCAGAATTCCATAGTCTTGTAAAGATTGCCCAGAATTATATGAATTTTATGGACTCCCAACGTTAATTCATTTTACAACCCAGGCGTCAATTCTATTGTACAGATAAAAAGCCTGTCAGGGGAAAGCCGATGTTTTCTGTACCTGAGTTCACCCCGCTCTTCAGCTGTACAATAAAATTGACAACAGGGTTGTAAAACAAATTAACTTTGGGAGTCCATAAAATTCATATAATTCTGGACAATCTTTAAAACCGTAACAAGTAATAATTCTCAACCGTTACTATTTTTGTCTCACTTTCTCTCATTGCGGTTGAAATGATACGTATTGCCTAGCATTTTAGGGGCGGTCCTAAAGTTCTACCGGAAGCAGGGGCGGCTCATGACTTGAAAAGTTGATGAGGCAAAGCACAATACGCTCCAAAATATAAATAAATCAAGATTACTTAAGTAAATATTTTCTACTTAGTCAAATAAACAAATTTGTAAACTCAGTTAACTGTCCACCAAGAACCAACGTGAAGGTGTAAGGAACTCTTGTAAGGAAAGGATGGAAATGACAGGACAAAAGGAAAGGGAAACGTGGTCAGAAAAAACTAATATAACTTAAAAAAAAAAAAACAAAATTAAAATAAACTTTAAAGAAAACATATCGAAAAAAATCAAATACAACATAAAATAAACCTATTTGATTTATAACAAAAAACAAAACGAAAAACATATAAAACATAAATACTCTGGATTTATTTTAAACTTTTTTATAGATCAATAATTAACGATTTACTCAAATCAGGAACCAGCCGTTTTAATTCCTTAACTACATACAATTTATCATCATACGTGAAAGTAGAAAAAACAGAACTGCTATTGTCATTTAACGTTAGTAGAGAAAAATTCCGATTTACTCGTAATCTTAAATAACGATTACCGAAATCAAATTATGACAAGCACAAAGCACTAACGCGATACACACAAACGTAGGCACTTTTAAGACAAAATTCTGTTACCGAAATTTTGAATCAATTTATACACACACATATTTGTGGCAAAACAATCAACGGCCTAATTTTGAATACTTCTGCAAATGCAGACTGCATTGTAATCGCACGTTCTCCGCGCGCGCAAATATTGTTGTCCATCTCTTTTGCAAGCACGGAAATGAGGCTAGCCTCAATTTTGTCTTTTTTCAACTCATACCGCTTATGAGTGTATTACAGGTTGCTTGCCTATTAACGATATGATTTCTATATCCGTTGTAGAGGCAAGCTCCGAGTTTGCCTCATTCGCGTCACAAAATACATGTTGTGTCGAGTGTTTCAGCGCGCTGTTTAATTAAGGGAGCAACGAGTACCTACTGAGATAAAAATAAGAATATAATTTTCCATATTTATTTTTAAAATTTTAGAAAAAAGACACAAATTATTGGCCGAAATGTGTCGTTAAAAAATAGTAAAAATCCTAATAAGGCGTAAAATTCATTGGTGAGGCACTGCCTCACCTGCCTCATAGGACAAGCCGCCCCTGACCGGAAGGTGCGTACAAACCAGAAGTTCAACAAAACAGTACTTCTTCTGTTTTGTTGAACTTGAAAAGGAGATGTTTAATGAAACAGATGAAATGTAAATTTTAAGTTAGTGTTATGTTTAATTTTCAGAATACCTCACTAATGGGAAAACGCATTAAGTTTGTGCAACTGTACGGTGGAAACTGTTTATTTGATTTTGCATTTTGCCTGCAACAAAACATAACTGTTTGAGAACCTGTGTCAAATTTCGGGTTTCACTCCGACAGGCGGAGCTATGTGTTTTCTCTCTCGCACATCCGCTTAAGTTAAAATGAGATAGCGTTTTGTTGTTCTTGTTTCTCACAGCCTAACCCAAAGTACCGGTGGTGGAAAAAAGAGAGAATGAGTTTTACGATATCCTAGAAAAATTATAACAAATGAAGTATACGAAATAAACTCATACGCCACCCCGGTACGACGCCTATGGACCGTGGAGAGCTTTCTAGGATGTACGGCAATGACGGGTGACTCATCGTTGGTGACGCAGCCGAGCGGCGTTTAAAAAGCCTGGAAGCGGAAGTCGCGACGGGTATTCGAGAAAGACCTCGATCGCCGAAGTATGGGTTTAAATAGAGGCCATCTTCGGGAACGATTATTATTCATCAAATCGAGTCCAAGAGAGTACAGTCAAGTTGCTCCGGAATTATTTTGTACATAATCGCTGTGTAATAATCAGTCGTGTAAATTGAGTTATTAAGAAATAAACTGTTGAGATTTTAAATCACCCATTCAACATAACAATACGTAACACTCTTTGCAGAACACTGTGGCGTCGAATGCCCTTAATTTTAACAACGTGTTTTCACCGCACTCACTAAACACGAAGTGATTCTTCTGAAAAACCACCTCCGTTCCTCTGCCCTGAGCTAAGATTGTCCAATTTTTAATTTTTAAAATGCAGTTTCGCGGCATTATTTTAAGTGGGGGAAGTGGTAAATAATAATTAATAAAATTAATAATTTTCAACATGATTGTTTTATAGTTTTCCTACTTTTAACATAAGTGAAATTACTATAAAAAGTTTGGTGTGAATTAATACGAGGTACGACCAAGTTAAATTTGTCCAGAAGACTAGGACAATCTATTTTGTTGATAAATAAATTAAAAACACAAGATAATAATATTGCGCCGATCCTGAGAGCTAGAAATTCAAACCTACCCAGTAGTACAGCATGATCACAGCTCCTTTCAGGATAAACTTTATTCACACAAGAACACAAAAATTTTAGAAATTTTTGTATTGTCTTATATACCAAATATTTATAACAACAATTAATATGTGTTATTAAAATGATATATCCAATGGTTCTACGTCCTAGATTTCTGCTGACGCACGCCAATGGGAGATACGACCACCCCTTAAATTTAAAAATAGGTTTGGCCAGAATCGTTTTCATCTACTGCGCAAGTTTATAGGTATGCTTACCTCTAAACACACAGACTCTAGTAAGTTATGTATCTTCTAGAGTTAGACCACTTTAGGCACATTTGGGCATGTCTGC